TTAAATTCTGAATGGCTCAAGGAAAATAATTTTTGACCATTAAAGACCCAATCTTCCAGTTTGATGTCAGTGAGATTAAACTGTTGAACTGCCCACTGTATCCAAATCAGAACATGTTGTGTGGACCATTGAGCAGGATCTGAAACAGAAATCAAAAATTGAATATACATACAAGAAAAAATCAATTACTGTGCCCAGGATTAGTGGAAGGGTGGGAGTTCTAAATTACCAGAAAGTAAAATATATATATATAATTCAATTTAATAATAACATTTGTGCTGATCATTAACATTTGTCAAAAACCTATGAAATTGCAAACAACATAAAAATGTAGTTCTGATACATTCCATTTCACTGTGACTTTATAATGGCTGTTGTTGCAAATGAGATGTCGATTTACATATTTAAGTTGTTTACTGTAATGTACTCAACCCTCTGTACACACTTTATTTAAATTTAAATTCTACAATAAAGTCAAAAACTGAAAAATCTATCTTAATAATTAATTCAGTGTTCATATATTCACAAAGACACTTTATCCAACAAAACAGATAATTTATAGTTGTAAGTGCCAATATATGAAACTACTTGCCTCACACGAATGCCCCATTTGTAAATTTTCAGTAGTCTAATTACACATTTTTGGTTATAATTTTGTCCTTCTTTACTCTAATAAATACTTTTGTAATTGTGTTCCCTTGCAGGCATTAAATCTTTATTCAATTTTGTACCATGTTTTTATATATTATTCACTTTCTTGACAATCTTCTTTTTTAAAGGTTCCTATTTTGTTTCCTTTATCTGGTTTTATTATAATTAAACCAGTATATTTTTCAAATTTAACAAGAGCTTGATGTTCTTCTCAACGATATATTATAAATTTTCTTTCCAGAGTTATAATGTAAAAAGATAATTACTCATACAGGTTTTCAATGCATCAAAATTCTTTTCAGTATATAGAGATTCCTGGAATTCCTATGAACATCTTAACAAAATTTCAAAGGATGATAAATAACTATGAAATTGAAATTCTACAGAATAAACCTAAAGGACAGTATTTGCAACACATGAAAAATAGTTAGTTAGTTTTAATATGAGAATGAATTTATACATAGATAAAAATTAAATGTTTTTTTAGGTCTATTGTTAATTTCTTTTTACCTAAAGGATGTTATAACCAAAACAAAATGTCATTGGTTAATTAATAAACAGAATCAGTACCACTCTTTTTGAAAGTTATAAAATGTATATGATTTCTTTTAAAGTCTCGATTGACTGTATCTATGAAAGGTATTACATAAGAGTCAAATGAACAGTAAGTCTGCCCTCCCAAATCACAATAAGATCCGTCTCTCAACACAATAACTGAACTGCAACAAAAACAGTTATATTCAATGATCTTGTGTTAAACAGATCACCAACTTCTGGTTCTCCAGACATATAGATTATTGTCCATTAAAAAAAAAGACATATGAAATCTTCACCCACTTGTGAAGAGGACAGACACCTAATGCTGTTGCTAACAGTTTCAGATATTTTAACAACATTAATGCAAGTTATATGGGCTGATGTAGGTCTTTCTTTTTGTTGTTGGACTCACAAAGTCTGTTTTTTACTGTTTGATCACTGATAGTTACCAAGTTGTTGTCCTGAAGTCCTTGGGCAGTGGACTGGTAATCAATTCCTAATGATCATGTTATACACATAGAAGTCATTATGTGGCATAACTGGTCTTCAAAAACTTTATCAAGGCTTTCTGGTGTGAGACAAATTGTCTTATAATGTGCCCTAAACCTTCCCATCTTAGACTTAGAAAAACCTAAATGAGTATCCACTACTTTCTAAATTTGTTTATTTTTCATGCTCTAACAACCTGTATTTCCATGTACAACCTCCACCCACTACCAGTGGATAATACAACAAAAATGCACCAAAACAGCCATGTATTCTCACAACATGATATATAAAATATGCACATATCTTAAGGCATCTCAATTTTTTTGGAACTGCAATCAGTTATAATTCTGTAATTATACACTCTGTAATTGTTTTATGTACTTGTATATTTGTTGCATATATTGATCCCATTTTAATAAAGTGCAGAATCTCAGAAGCTATTGTTTAATGGACAACTTGTTCTTCCAAACCTTATATTTTGTGATATACAATATTTAATGTGTGAGCATAATAAAATGCTAAATTGTTATGAGTTATGAAAAAATTAATTGTAATTCAAAGCTTGCTGTCAGGGTTTTAATTCTAAGCCAAAGATACTTAGTAAGCTATGTTTTTAGTATGTTAACTTAGATGTTGTGTATTGTTTTCTAGAAGGAGTTTAGACATGAAATGATATGTGATGTGTAGAAATTCTCTGAGTGTCTAGTTAGTTAGTTAGTCAGTCAGTCAGTATCTGTTAAGTTTCAATTGTGACTTATGCTTATAACTTAGTCATAATTAAACCTGTAAGCTGTAAAAAATTCAGTTGAAGAAATAAAATGCCTTCCTTTATGTTAAGTGGACTGGACTTTACATAAACTTTAATCTGCTACATCTGATGTATCTTCAATATTCAACTGGCTTATCACACTCAGCAGTGGACTGCTATATTTGATGTACCTTTAATACTCAACTGTTTTATCACACTTACTGGTAACTTGCTACACCTTTTTTGTATGATATAGTCAGTTTCTAAAAGTAACAACAAGAAAATTTTTTTCTCCACAATTAAAATGCAATGTAATGGATAACTATATAATGTGATGATACATTTATTAACTCTTAACTTTCTATGACTTAGACACATACTTCTTATCTGTTTAGTACTTTTTTGTAGCAATTACAGCACTTAACTTAGATTGTAATTAATTCACCACATTTCTCAAATAAAGATATCTATTTACAAGAAAAATAATCATCTTCATCATGAGTAAGGAGTTATGCAGATTAGATTACTTTAAATATTAGTTTATTTTATTCAAGTTTAATTGATCACTCCTTTATATTCATTTTACATCATTCTGTTTTAATGGGGTTTTTAAGTGCTTTTCAATCACCTTTGGTGAAATTGGAAGAAAAATCTGTAACATATATATGTTATCATTCTGTTTTCTTTAACTAAATTCCTTAATTAATACTTTCAGTGCAAAGGTAATTTAGGAACTTAGAAAACTCATTTTCAATAATCTCAGGTTGGGCCAATAAAATGTAAAAGTGACTAAAATTTCTGTGTACATAAAAATATGACATTCTATACATTTATGTAAGAAAGTTTTCTCACCTAATGGAATTTTTAACTGTTCTTGCTCCTTCCTAAACTGGGCTGATACTACCCAGCGTGTAACATTTTCTGCTTCTTCTGGTGCTGAAATATGATTTTCTTTTGCTACTTGAGGCTGTCCAACTTGCTGCTCTAAACACATCAGGTAAAATTAGTTCTAATTGCAAGGAAGTTGAACAAGTTTGTTGGCTTTCTAAGTTACACTTTAAAAAAATTCACCATATCTTAAACTCTAATTTTAATTAATCCAAGATGTAGCCATGACACATTATTGTGGTGATGTAGCTTCTTAGAGTGCCATTCTGTGAAAAAAAATCACCCAACATTTAGAATAGTAACACTTCTGAATTACTCTGAACTCAATACGACTGCTTGTTCCAAAAAAGTTAACATTTTCCTAAATTGAAAATATATTTCCAATAATACTTACCTCTGCTGATACTTATAGCTATTACTCCACTGCCAGTTATTCTTCTTTGCCCATCTAAGAATCGGTCTTGTTTTTTCACACTTGCTCCAATCTCAATTGTCCTTGGTGATATTTGTCTCATGGTACTCTCCACCTACGTCAATGCACCCTCTATCCTGGTACTGTATATAAGCACCTCATTCATATAATCTTATCATTTTTTCGAGACTGACACCACCCCAGTCTCTAACACTGGCTCTTGGTGAGGAGAAAGGGAGGGAGAGTGTCAGTGGAGGTAAGTATTATTGGAAATACATTTTCAATTTAGGAAAATGTTAACTTCCATAACACTTACCTCCGCTTACAGTTATAGCTAGAATCCCAACAGAGAGATGGTGGAGGGGCTGGTGAGGGCATTATCCATACAGACAGCATCTGCATAGATCATGGGTGTACCAATATAAGATAGGTACCCGAGTGGGTGAACCGCACTACGTTAAGAACATGTATGCTCTTCACCCTGAACTTAGTTTCTGTATCAAGGGTGTAATTGTACATGAGTGATCATCACTAAAGGCCCTCCCCAACCAGATAACCGAGGTTCCACTGCTTGGGGTTGGAATTAAGGGGTCTTGGTCTCTATATCCCCTGCTGGTGGCTGTTTGGACAGCAACATTACACACACACACATGTATATATATATACTACTGATTAAATCCCAACCTGTAACCATAGAGTGATGCATACTGAACCACCGGAATCAGGATAAGAAAGTAAGCAATACCGAAGTGGACAAACCTTCTCCTCTACCTGAAGAAGCCCGAAAGGCAACACCCCAGGCTCATAACGACAGGATCGTGTATGCCATACTAAATCAAAGGAACAGAACTCATCTGGTTTGGAATTATGGACATTCATCCTCACCCACCCCCACCGCCCAACTCAGTGTGCAAGGAGCATTCCACTTGCCCCCGGAATTATGGGGAGAACATGGAACAACTATGCTCAACCAAGGACCCAAGATGGAACTGATATTGATCAAAAAGAAGGGCCATGCACACCTCAACCAAATAGCTGAGTGTCAAATCTGAACCAGTATTACGAGTAGGCTCCCAGTGTAGGCTTGTGTTGCGCCTACCTACATCTGGGAAAACAACATTCAGGGATCCAGGCAGGAGGGCCCCAACTTCACCCTCTTCTCCAAGAGTGGAGGAATTCACTCTGACACTCTGGAGGAAAACCCTATGTCCACTACCACAGTGAATGGAAACCGGGTGTGGTAAAGACTCCCTAGCTCCACTAGTAGAATCTAGGGGGTAATGCACGTAGAGGAGTCCTGAGGAACAGTGCTCTAGAAACTGAAATAGGTGAACCAATTTATTCAATCCAATGATCAGCAGGGATGGGAAGGATCCCATTTAGTTTCACTCACGATAGTTCAAGAGAGGCAGTCCAGCATAGTATGGTAATACCACCTGGTGAGCTCCTAGGTGGTCTTATGGAACACCTCATTTTTACAGAGCCTGTTGTAACCAGTAGTGGAAACCTTGGATATAGACAGAACATATTTTGAGTACCAATGTACCAAGGGGATGACGCCAGCTACCAGGACTCATGAATAGGGGCAGAACTATGACTCCCATAGGAGCTGATGAAATTTGAGGCTCGAACAACAATTGAACTCCACCTTAGAACACCAAAATTCGAGAAACAGATGTATTATTTGGGAATTGGTAGTAGACTAAATCATAAAGTTCCGACAATGTGTCAGATAATGCCTAACTGTCCCCTCATGTAACTAAGAAGTAAACCTTCCAGCATGAACCAAAATATCCTTGTATGGAGAAAAAACTAAAAATTTTCTCCCAGACTTTTCAGCCATCAAGTAAATTTCAGGCTCAAAAGCAACCGGTAAAAACCCAAAACATCACACACTCAAAGAACCAACAGAAGAAAAACAAATCAAAGGCAGCTTATCCCAAAGTGGCCTCCTTTTCATCTTTCCTAGGTCATTTAAAGACTGTGTTGATTACCATTAATTGTAACAGCTTTTTGTTAGGTAAAGTAAGTGGTTATGTTATAGCAAAGAAACTTCAGGACATCTTCCACATCCACCCTAGGGAATCAAACCCCAGACCCCAGTGCTGCAAGTCCATAAACTTACCACCGTCGCACAGAAGAGCTGAAAATCCAACAGACTAAAAGATGGCACAGGTAAAAGAGAATCTAAAGTCTCTCCAAAATGTAGAGAATCACCCTCAATTGCAGCCTCAGAGTCCCCCAGAGGATCACAACAGATCCGAATACATATCTCCATATCACCAAGAATAAGATCACTGACAGTCTCAACCAAGAGTGCCCCCCTTCCTTGCTGTGTAATGCTAGATATCAGAGGTGGGAGAGGAGAGACCCAATTTACCTCCTTGCCAGAAAAAATAATATGGGAATTCATACTGTCGTCGGCTTGCCAATATAAGGAAGAAATTTTTTTTGTTAATTATCATTATTAGTATGAATATCAACTAGATAACATAATAACTTTTAAAGTGGCTACAAATGATCATAATACTTGAGAACCCAATTATGACACTTTGTCAAGAAAAAGTGGTAAAATTACCTGAATGAGGTGCTTATATACTGTACCAGGATAAAGGGCGCATTGATGTAGGTGGAGAGTATGACAAGACAAATATTGCTAAGGGCAATTGAGTAGAGTATAAAAGACTGGAGCAAGCGAGAAAAAAAATCGGATCATGCATAGATTGGAAAAGGAGAAACCCTGGCAGTCAAGTAATAGCTATAAGTTTCACTGGAGGTAAGTATGTTTGGAAAAAAATCAGTCTAATAAGGCCATAGGGCTAAAAGTCATAACAGAATTCAAACATGGGTTGGTGGATGACCTTCATGGAAAGGTGAATGTATAACCTTCTCATAGTTACAGAAAAGTACAAATGTTCTTTATTGTGAGAAAAAAATCAAACCTAACCTTCCCTTCAATTTCAAAGAAATCTGAATAACATTCATACAATGAGGTCTATACAGAGCAGGAACAATTTAGTTATTTGAATAAGATGACATGATGAAGACAACATTGTGGCAATAGTGGTTAATTAAATTCCAGGTGAAATTAAACCAGTCACTGCTGCTCCCTCTGGTTCTACAGTCTTTTGGTCTTTTTAAGATCTTGATCCAAGAACTTATAACTTTACTGTGGAAGATGAAATAAGGTTTGGACATTTATCGCTTCTAAGAATGTTCACAACTGACATTTAGCACTTGTCATTCTTCTTGTTAGTGGTGCTTTGTAGCTTACTATTTAGGTGCATGAATTTAATGCAAAAGTCTCCATATTCTCCAGAGAGGTTTTCAATCATCTCAATTCAGTACATACCTGCATAGGAGTAAAAAAATTATAATTATAATAATTCCTCTCCTATAGGAAAGAGTATTTTTTCTTCAGTTTTGGGTTTATTTGAACAATTCAAAAACATAGTTCCTGCTGAACTAACAAAAAGGAAGAAAGTGGGTATGTGGAATGGGGATGAATCTTTGTAGGCATTGCATGCTTGAAGGCTGAATTCAATGCTGACTTGAACATTCACTCTAGGTTTTCAGGATGTGTAATAATCTCTTGTTCAGAGACAAGATAAGTGTTATGCTGGGGAAGGTAATCTAACAGACTCAAATATTCTCTAGGAAGAAATCTCTCCTTCATCAGTGGAATGTTGCAAAGTCACTTTTGTCGTCTTCTTCTTGACACTTCCCCTAATACCATTACAGGGCTTATGCCACGAGAATCTACAAACACATTTTATTCACAATATATGTTGAAGTACAGATAATGGTAGCAGACTGGAGAAACTGCACCAGTTTTTGTTTGGACCAAAAACTGCAACTGAAGTTATGAATATTCCCCAGAAAGGACAGATTTTACTTTCAGTTGTGGAACGGGCTTGGTTTGGAGTACCCAACTACTGTTGAATGTTTCAGGGAGTTACTGTTCAGAGATTTAGATGGCAGAAGCTTCCATCCTCTGAGTAGTAATAATGAACAAAATGATACAGTTTAGTTTAGAAATTTGCTCAAAAGATGCTTTGTTTCATGTCTTGAATATGAAAGAATAGCTCTAGGATGATCAGATATTAATTGTTTGCATGGTGCATAGCTTATATGATTACCCAATCTAATTTTTAATTAGTTAATGTTTTTTTTACTATTTTCATTACTAACTACTAATTATTTTATATCATATGTTTCATCTGCTAATTTGCTGTTATCTTCATGGAAACTCCAAGAATAACCATTTGTGATGGAAGAAGCGAGTCTTTGATCCTAAGTCTTCTTTAGAAAGGTGAGTGTGCTATCTTCTTGACTAATAATAAAAATAAAAAACATTATTAATGAATTAATAATTAGTCTTAGGTGATTGTATAACTATGAATAATGACATCATAAAAGGGTTCTCTTTTTTTTGTATTTTCAACTTGAGACATCCAAGTCTCTTCTGCTTATGATATTTCTCATACTTTAGTATTCCTAACTTTTTGAACTCAATAGTATTCGACTGTCTTCATTACTTTTATAAAATAACAATATCTTCTGTTGATTTGGCATGCTACTTTTTCTTTTACACATTTTCACTAGTAGTTCAAGTATCTGAATATTATGACACTTTATACTTTACTTGGCATAGAGATCTATATTACACAAAGAATAGAAATTTTACTTCACTTTTCTATGTCTTTAACCTTTTGCTCAACAGCAGTAGCTGGAACCTTAGATAGTTACAAAGCCTCATAAGTCTTCTAGCTTTTAGTTCAGATTTGTATTTGCTGGTTTAAGATTATCTTGCACTTTTGCAAATGTTACAAGGTTTTGTTTATCCTTTCAAAAGTGAACAGATGTTAGTTGTATATGAAAAATGTCAAGTTCTACTGTTTTATATTACTTCATTTACTATTTCTTCACAGGACTTCACAGCAACCCCTTTCATTTTGTTGTAAAGAGTAAGGTCAATTATTTTCAAATGGTTACTCCAGGAGTTCTGATGTTTCCTAAAAGGGTTTTTTTTGTTTTTTTTTTATAGACTGAAAGTCTTTTCAGTAATTCTGGCTCAAGATGAAGGCAAATATTCTTGACTGAAAATAGACAAGTATCAGTTCTCACAGACAGAAGAAACTTTTAATCACAGGGAACTCTAACCCTAACTTATTTTTGAATGTCTGTTGAAGGCATTGGACTCTATTCTCCCAGAAAGTACAGTTTTCACTATGGAAACTGATAGCTGAATAGCAAATACAATTAAAAAAGAACTCAGCTAAATCCACAATACATTGTTTGCTAGAACCTCTTCCTATTTGTGGGTTCTACTGAATCTGTTGAAGAAAATATTAGGTCATCAAGAAATTAATGTCACTTTTTTTTAGATAAAAAAAAACTGAACAACTTATACATCAAAATAAAACATCATTTATTAAATGAAATAGTTCCATTCTTATTAATGATGCTTTTCCATCTTCTAATCAGGTTGTTAATGCCCTGATTAAAGAAATCACTTGGCTTTGAAGCAAAAAACATGTTTATGTCCTCTTTAATGCCTTCCACATTTGCATAAGTTTTTCCATTGAGAAAAAGATGGTAATCTGATGGTGCCATATCTGGTTCATTTGACTATTATATGTGATGTACATTTTTCGGGGAGGTGGTTAATGAAAGTGTTCAAAAATGTGACATTAATTTCTTGACAACCTAATAGTTTCTGGAAGTACACAGTTTCACATAAAATAAGCCATGACACAAGTCTCCAGTGGAAATACTTTTGAATAAAAGGTTCATTAAAAGTCAAGGTGTAGTTCACTCATCCACAAAATATTGACATCTCTATCTATACTTTTCAACCCCTTGACCTCATCAGGCTGAAAATATATTTAATTTTGGTTTTTGTCTGAAACAAAGCAATGTGATGAGTCTGGTGTAAAGCTGAGGTTTTAAATACAAAAATGTCTAGGAAATTTGCCATAGAATGAGTCTAAACCTAGTAAAAAACAATTACATCATGAAACAAAATTCTAAAACAACATACAATCTGACAGCACCAGATATATAAAATACATTTTCTAATCCCTCCCAGGAAGAATATTTTACTTTTAAATACTAACTTTCAGCAATGATACAATCATGATATAAATATTTCCACAAATGGGAGAACAAATCAGAAGTTTAGATAGGATTAACCCCCTACTTAGATGAAAGAAAGAGATCCACTAAAATGCAACAATGGGTAAAGATTTTAAGGTATAAGCAATAAATGTACAGGACTATAACATATCTGCTGATAATTTTTAACTGATTAATAATATGTTACAATAACAGCGTTTCAAACAAAACTTTCTTCCTTTTAGAACCAGATGCTTTTCCAGCTTAACCAGTGTACGATGATAAATGAAGCATTAATAATTAATGTAAAATATAATCTTCTATAAATCTCTCTTTTTGAACATAATTCATGACAAATTTACTGATGAGTATAATAGTAATATCCTGTAGATAGATATATTTTAAAAATACCTATACTTTTTTAATTATGTGGGTTGGCTTACACTTATTGAAAACTGATAGCCAAAGTAGTTTCAAAGTCTGGTTCTTCCATCTTTGTAGTGAAGTGTGCAGTTCTAAGTATGAATATGAGATAAGAAAAATCCTGTTCAAGTTCCATTTACCTTAGTACTCCAGCAGCTTTATAGTATTCTTTAAACAACTTGTCTGGCAATAAACTTACCAATTAATGATAGCTAAAATATTTCTCTGATGCATGAAGTTATGAACTCACAACTATACATACACTTGTCTTGGCAATGACACCTCACAATAAATTAATAATTAACTCATATGTCAATATCCAAGTCTTAACACAATTGAGAATATAATGTGCATAGTTTTATTTCTATTTGCATGTGTTTGCAAATTGATAGATGACAGTTCAACACTAAATTACGAATTTTTTCTTTTGCAGTAAATAAATATTACAAGACCTGTGTAAAAAATTGTCTCATATTAAGATAACGGAAATTAAAGAAAAATTAAACAAACCTTGTTGGACTTGGTCCCCTTCTTCAGGTACCATAGAAACCAACTCTTCTGCTGGTTTTAGAACATCTACAATGTTGAGCTTTTTTATGTCTAACAAGTATACAAAATACATTGAAAAATAAATTGGAATTTTTTTTGTTACTTTTTTTTACATAAAGTAACACATTTCTGTTTAGGAAGCATTATGCACACATGTATTTGTTAACCTACATGAATATGAAACATTCCTGAATCTTATTTATTTTTTCTAAACAAACTTTTTTTTCTTCATAAGATGACTTTGCTTACAAATATAATTTTGTACTTGTCAAGTATAAAACTTGTCTTTTTACTAACTGAGAAATGTGATTTTGAAGGTTGATGTGATTTTAAGGGATAATAAGTTAATTACCAACTATTTAATAAAATGTAGTTTAGTAGCATAGGAAGAAAACTGACATCAAGTATTAAATTTATACAGAAAGATGCCTTGAAATAAAAACATTGTTACCATATGGTATTGATAGGATGTATTTGGTAACTTAAACTTATGTGAACTAAATTATTACTGTATTTAAGTGTTTGTACAGGGTCAATAAAGGAAACATAACCAATCAATACACATGGTAGTGTGTCATGCGGCCACAAAAACCTGCAGGACACGGTGTGTGTTACTAACAGAAGTGATAGTTTAGTGATTTTCCACTTTCTGTAGCTCAAACTGTGGTAATTCAAATATCACACATTTTCAGTGGACATGCTCTACTAGACCCTTACTTCACATACCAAATTTTTAGGCAATTCATTAAGAAATCCACGAGATATAAAATCTCCAATTTTGATTCACTTTCTTTTTTTTTCTTTTCTTTGCACCAAAGTACAAAAATATTATTTGATAGAAAAACAAACTCAACTTTTATAGTTTGTTTGTTTGAAGTTAAGCACAAATCTACACAATGGGCTGTCTGTGCTCTGCCCACCACGAGCACGGGTATCAAAACCCAGTTTCTAGTGCTGTAAGACCACAGACATACTGTTGTACTACTGGGAAGACAACTTTTATGGATTTTTTTTTTTTAATTTGGTACACTGATAGATTTTTACAACCTATAATTAGGTATCTAATTTGGTCTAAATATAAGCCACATGTGCAAAGTTATTCAATCAAAACTGCTCCATTTTGACTAAAATGTTTGTGTATGCCTATGCAAAAATTCAAGTGAGCTATCAGTTTAAAATTTTACTACAGCTTCACCTAAGAGTAAAAGTGGACCATTTTTAGGTTTTGTCATTAAGATTAAAAACAGCTGATTTAAAGCAGCAAAACTATAGGGTGAAAGAACATGCAGATACATAATTATTGGTTAGGCCAAGCAAACTAGATTAGCTGTTTCTAACTCAAGTTTTCAAAGGAAACATACTGTGGATGGTTATTATTCATTACTGGCAACTTTTAAACACAAATTTGCTAAAGTTTATGAAATTTTCCTAATTAAAGAGTGTTTAGTATCATATGATATTAGCTTAAGCAATTAGCATAAATAATGATGTTTGATATGTCTGTACCGAGTGCATGTGGGTGATGACAAGAAACTGTTAATCCAGTATTCATGGCATTACTATAGAGATGTTATTAACACTGTTTTAGAGAGGAAAAGTTGTAATTTTGCTATACTGAAAATGTATTTCCAACAGGTACTTACCTCCTCTCACAAGACTGGCTATTTTTGTACAGTACTGTCCTCTACATGTGAACGTTTTCTTTACGCATGCTAAAAGCCTTGCACTCCCCTTGTTGGAATTAGTAAGTTCCAACGTGTCTCTCATGTAAATTATCATGCGTCGTCTATTAACCAGTAGAAGCATAGTATGTTCACATGATGCATGTGACTCCCTCTACGCTCATCTACCAAACCTTCACTTCTAAGTTTGAGCACCAGAGAAGTGGAGAGAAAGGGTGGGAAGTGTGAGGCAGATAAGTACCTATCGGAAATACATTTTCAGTAGAGGAAAATTATAACTTCTGATACAGCACTTACCTCCTCTCACAAGATTAGTTAAAATCCCACACTAAGTAGGAGGAACAACCGGTGTGAGGGAAAAACAGAAGCTCCCCCAAAAGCATCTGAAGAATACCCCCCTGACCATGAGAGAAAGAGATAAGGATATCAGAAAAGGTGAACTGCACCACTTCTGAGCCAGGTATACTCGTCACCCTTGTGTATGATTCGTAAAACACACGGGTGGAGATTGCGAGGTGTAGAGTGGCTAGGGCATGTCAACTACATCAATGCAAGAGTAGGATGAGGACCATACCATCTTCACCTACAACCCAAAACAAGAAGAAGTATCTATGATATGCCTATAATCTCTATAGTGTGAAGTAATTTGTTGGAGATACGCTTAACTCGTTCTTGATATACATGTGGTGACCATGGGCCAAAAAGGAAAATCCAATGTTAGAAAACACAGGGATCTTGACTGGGTGCCAACTTGGTGGTCGACATGAGCCACCACTATTGAATTGCGGAATGAATCATGACCAGATGATATCTGGAGATGGGAAGAAAGTCCAATGAAAGCGAGGAGTTTGAGGATGTTGATATGAATGTTCCTCAAAAAAACAATGACCCAATGCCTCCTGGTGATTGACCCATGCACCCAAGTGCTGAAGGGATGCAACCATAAACAAATGTAATTTTGGCCATGGAGAAGGAAGCAGGACAATGTACAAGCCTTGTCCAACCATCACTGGAGATCATCCATGATATAGGACAGAAGGGTTATAGGAGCATCCAAGGGATCCTAAGCAAGGTTCCATTGGTCATGGAGAACAAATTGAAGGGATTGCATACAAGCCTGGCCGAGTGGTATGAGAGGAGTAATAGAAGACCTCATCCCCAAAAGCAATAGAACTCACGAGCAGAAAGTCAAGAAGCAGACAGGGCATTCCGATTGGCCAGAGTTGGAGAGGAGAAGGTAGAGCCTGACTGAGAAGGGTGTTGAAGCAAACACGATGAACAAGGTACTGAGTAGAATGAAGGAAGGATTTCTCAAATTTGATGAACCAGCCCACCCAAGCAGCTTCAAGAAGGAGTTGACGAGTATGACAGGTAAAAGAATGAGCTAGAAGAAACCAGTCATCCATATTGAAATGAAAGCACAACCCCAGGGCATGAAGATGTAGAGTGAAGGTTTGCACCACCTGACAGAAAATATATGGCACCAAAGGCAGCCTGAAGGGTAGGGCTTGAAAACTTTACATCACCCCATGTTGGACAAACTGAAAAAAAGAACGAGAATGCTCTGATATGGGAATATGCAGATAAGCATTAAAGACATCCATCTTGGTCATCAAAAACCTGGATAAAAAGCCCATCGAAGAGTAAGGTATGATGGTGAAGTGTGGGGTATGTACATATCAATTGAGACGGGACAGGTCAAAGACTGGCCTTTAGTTTCTGGTTTTTTGGGAACTACAAAGAGGCAGGAGTGAAACCCCCCAAACTTCATGGAGCAGGTTCGATAGCCTGTTGTGTGAGGAGGTCTTGCACTGCCTCAGATAGACACTGGAGTGACAAAGGATCCTGAGGAGGAGAAAAGGCATGCAGAGCAAGGGAGGAAAGGTAAGAAAAGGTATGACAAATCCTTCTGACAAAATGTGGAAAACCCAAACATCAGAGATGAAAGGGCTCCACCAATGAACAAAGGTCGCCAGATGAGCTCCCACTGGACCCGAACCCACCAAGTAGTCACCAAAACTAGTTGGCGTACCAAGCGTCGTTGTAAAAAACATGTAACGGTGAAACTGTGGGAAGGAGGAACATGTAACGGCTAGGAAGGGGAGGGTAGGGAAACAGGAATTTCCACGATTGGTTCTGACAGGGACAAATGGACCACCAAATGAGAAAGGGTGGATTGTTGACGACTCCAAAGACTCTGGGATCGTGTTAAACATGAAACGTCTCAAAAATGGGGCCATCAGAAGGCCCCGTACATAAAGAGCTGGGAGACAATATGGCATCACAACCCAAAAGGTCCCAACAACAAATAACCAACATTTGCAGGGCCAGAACCGAGGACAACAGGTGGACCAATGTGGAAGTGAAGAGGAAGAGGACTTCCCCAGAAAACCTCTCAGGGTACCTGTGAGGAGCCTCAAACAGGAAATGGATCAACAATTGTTGGTCTAGATATGGACAGTCCACCCTATGATAAGTGAGGGCAGACTGATCTGAAGCCCTTGGGAGACGAGGCATACTAATGCCATCACCTAACTTGGAGGTGAAATGCTCAGTGTGAACCCAAATATCATTCATGAGTTAGATAGGCCACATATTCTGTTTTACCCACCAACATGTCCCAAGTTGAACAAAACATGCAGCCTGCGCAACTGATGAATGAATATTTATTGTAAAATTCTTATCAACGCTATCAGTGTAGCTGCCAATTAATCCTTTTGTGGCCGCACCTTTTTTTTTTTCACATCCAAGATGTTTTTGATTATGTAGCTAAATAACTTATAGCTACAAACTAAGGTTACTTTTAGCATTTAAAATCATATGTTTTTTCTATCTCTAAAGTGATTAGATAATAGAATAAGTGTTTAGTATTCCTGCATTGTTTGTTTGTTGAATATGGGGGCTAACTGTGCTAGCTGTTCCAAGTTTAAATCAGTCTCGGTCTTTAAGTTATGGGGCATAGAAAGCCTTGGCTACATTTAGTAGTAGTACTTTGATGCAATATTACATCAGATTATAATAGTTTAAATCACATCATTTTTTAGTAATCCATAGAGGTTTCCATTAAGCTGTTGGGTTACAACATAAAGTATTAGCCAACTACTAGATACAGAAATTAAAGTTAACTCTTTTGCTGCCACATTTACAGATAAACAACTCTTCCAGTTCCATGTATATTTTTAAATAGAAAAAAACAAAACAGAAAAAAAGGTACATATTCTAAAATTTCTTTTTTTTGAACTTTGAAAGAGGTAAACTTTGAGAATACTCTTTCTGTGTGGTGATACAAAATTACAAATTTCCAGGCCAGTGAAAGCATTAAATATTTTAAAGTTATAAGTTAGAGGAAATCAAAATTAGCTCAACGTG